GGATGAAGCTTCTAGGAGAGAGACCAGTAAAATTATTATAATAGCTGAGCAGGCTGATATGGCCTGAAAGACAAATAGGTGAGTATGAAAGACAGAGGTTTAGAATCCAAAATACTTGATGTGAGGGGCTGAAAAGGCCAAAGATGATTTCAAATAGTCAAATATGAACAATAATGTAGACAATGAGATTAAATGAACAAGTAAAAAGAGGGATTTGTTAGAGAATAGTTCTTTTAAAATAATGAATTTCAAATATTGATGAGATATTTAGTGAAGGTATCCAATAGGTAGTTGATACTAGTATGATACTCAGAGAAAGCCAATTGCCGAATATATTGATATGGACTTTGTTAATCTAGAGTTCACAGATATGGATAAGATCACCCACTGCAGTCAGGAAAAAGGGAAGAACTAACAGCCTATGGTTAATTGATGTCAAGCCAGAGCTAAATCCCCAGCCATGTCAACCATCATTTGAATGGCTACTAGACACAAGATAGCTAATGAAGGAAGAGAATCAAGAGAAAGCATCATCATGGAAGTCCAAGAGGAAAATAAGTTGTGTTTTTTTTTTTTTTAAAGGATGGTAAACTGTCAAATGCTACACAGAAACTAAGTAGTATTACAGGAGAACTTAGAAGAGGCCTTTTAGGGGATTTAGATCAATGGTACTTTTGCCCGCCTCACAAGCCAAGGTCCTGAGTTCAAAAGCTTTTGACTATTTGGAAGTTGTTCATTTTTCTAAAACCAGTTTTAGTGGAGTAGTAAGAAAACAAAGTACACTATATTAGATAAGAGTTTCTCACTCTCAGCACAATAATGTGGCATTTTATATCACTCAATTCCTTGTTGTGTGAGGCCATCCTGTGCCTTTTAGGATATTTATCAGCATCCTTGGCTAAACAGATACCAACAGCACTCCCAGTTTTAAAAACCCAAAATGTTGCCAGATATTATCAGATGTCCCCTGGGGGCAAAATGCCCTGCACACTTCAGAACCACTGCACTATATTGTATTGTGAATGTTTCCCAAAAGCCAATACTTTTAGGCTTCCCATACCTTGATGCAATGAGTATGTTAGAAACTTGAAGAATTGGAACCTAGTGGGAGGGGTCTTTAGATCAATAGTTACGGCTTTGAAGAAAACTGTGGGACCCTTGTCTGTTCCTCTTTTCCTTCTAGGCCATGAGGTGAGTGGTGTTGCTCTGCTACATGCTACTGTGAAGATGTGCTGCCTCACCAGTAACCCAAAAGCAACAGAACCAGTTATTCATGGACTGAAAACTACAAAATGGTGAGCCAAAATAAAGCTTTTTACTTTATAAATTGATTAGCTCATTTTTTGTCATAGGGACAGAAAGCTGATTAACACAGATATGGGTGGAAGAGACCAATGTATTAAAAAAATATTAAGACATAGCATAGCATCACCTTAACTTTTTTTCTCATTTAAAAAAATCTGTTTACTATAAATTCAGTTTTTTTAAACTCAACCCTGCCTAGGACAGGTGCTCACTCAAACCTCCTATTCCCTTAAGAATAAATTACATTGGGACTAGGGATTTAGCTCCGTGGTTTCGGTGCCTGGTAAGCGCAAGGTCCCAAGTTCAATCCCCAGTACCAAAAAAAAAAAAAAAAGAATAAATTACATTGGGACTAGGGATTTAGCTCCGTGGTTTCGGTGCCTGGTAAGCGCAAGGTCCCAAGTTCAATCCCCAGTACCAAAAAAAAAAAAAAAAGAATAAATTACATCAAGAAACACTTTATTTATAAAAATCAAGACTCAAAATAATATTTATAGGACTATCTTAGAGTTAGATGTATCGCCTTGAGAATTAGATAACACCTCATCCTGACAGTCTTGGGACTGTTGACACTACCTTGCCATTGTGTGGAAAACATTTTTCTTACTTTGATGTTATGACTTGGTCAACGATGATGATAGTAAATATAACCTTAGCACTAAATGCCAGTGCACAAGCAAAAAATCTCCTGAAGAGATGGTCTTGTTCTTTCAGCAAACAATGAATATATCAAAATTCTATGCTTCTCTATTTCTTTCATTCCTTGGAACAGTTGATAAGGTGCATTAATGAAATGTATTACAAATGATACTTTATGAAATTTAAAGAAAAACTAGTTATGAGGGTCAAAGGCCAGGTAATCACTCATTCTCTTCCAAGTCTCACTATCATTTCTTCACCTTCTCTGACTGCTTACCTAGCATAGCCTTTCCTGGCCATTGCCAAGCTAGAACATTGCTGATTATCAACCAACTGGATATCATTGCATTTAGAAACTCTCAAACTTAATCTCAAATCACTAAACTGTGTACTTTGGCTCTTTTTACCAAAATAGAGTGTGACATCTTGTTTTTAGAACCAAATGTGTCACTATATTTGTATTTATGACTATTAGAAAATAATCTGGTCATCGGGTTATTCAAACCCAAGTCAATATCACTGCACAGTCTTTAAATAGCATCCAGACAACAGATTTATGCCACTGTGTAAGGACCCAATTCGGGTACATTTCAATTAAATATTTTACAAGTCTTCACTGTGTGTCAGGCACTGTGAAAAGCACTGTGAATAAGAAAAGCATGAACACGGTCCCTGCCCATGATGCTTATAATCTGGGAAAGATACATATGTATATGCAAGAGCTAGGTAAGTGTATGAGAAAGACTGATATGATATGCAGTGGATATAAAAACTTCTCAAAGACAATATAAAAGAAATTTTAAGAACCAAGTTTTTAATAATGCCAAAATAAAGCCAACAGATAATTTCAGGCACACCCTCTGTTCCTCCCAATTGTACCCTATTCCAATTATTGGCCCCTTCCATGGTACTCATCACTATTCCGTATGTGCCCCATATCAACTTGGTCCTTTGCTGTTGGGTGGAATCCTATGACCAATCTGACCACTGACAATTGAACAGCCTTAGAGAATAGTAGTGAGGATGAGTTCTTTTCCTGTTCACTTCCCCTACCACTAAGAATATGAAAGACTTGTGTGAGATGGTAAATCTTCAAGACCAAAGCAGCCTAAAGCAAAAAGTAAGGAGCATGAATGAAAGTTCTGCAGAGTTGTCTGAACTCATGGGAGATCTTTATTAGGTCACAGAAAGAGCCTGTTCTAAAACACCCTCACATCACTTTAATTTAAAAAATTCTAGACCTTTATAAAGAGTTTATTTTGGCTTGCATTAACTCAACAAATAAATACTGATTGAACACCAACTACGGGTTAGGAATTGCCTTTGGTTCTAAGACTACAATAACAAAGCCTCAAGTCTGCAGCCTCAGAGAGCTTACATTTTCGTGGGGAAAACAATAATTTCAGGTAGTGATAAATATGAGAAAAAAAGATTTTTCTAATTCTGTTCTTTTCTCACATCTCCTGTCCTCGCTTTCCTCTTTATTCAGCAGTCTCTATCATCCATCGCTGTATTCACATCCTCGACCCATTACCCTTTTCTCCTTTCTTTCTGCTTTCACGGCAAAATTCCAACATGGTTAATTTCTTTTCCTTTTTTTTTCCGTCTCTGAATACAAAAATGCTGACTATTGTAACCTCGACTTCCTGACCACCTATCTCAGCAGGTGCTTGCAGGAACTTGGCAACGTTACTATCTTGTGCAACCAGTTTACCTTCCATTCATCTACACTACGACTAGTCTACATTTGCTTTCATGCTCAAACTGCCAGCAATCTGCTCCCACTCATTCACCATCAATGGTTTTGTCCCTGATCTCACCGAGAAACTGAGAGATCTTCTGAAACCTCTACTACATTTGCCAATCCCCACCCAGAGCCTGTACATGTATCTTGTCTTCCCTCCTGTTACTGTTATTTTAAATGTGTCCCCAAATTTCATGTGCTGTAAACTGAATCCCTTAGTTAACTCATATGTCAATGGCATTGGGAGATAATTAAATGAAGTTATGAGGGTAGGGTCTCAATGTTGGCATTATGGTAGTGGCTTTATGGAAAGAACAGATGTGACCTAGCACACTTGCTCTGATGCATGTAATGCCTCTGCCACATTAAGACACAGCATAAGGCCTTCCCTAGATACTGCCACCCTGTTTTCTGATATCTCAGCCTCTATAACCATAAGCTAAATACATTCTCTTCTTTTATCTATTACTTGGTCTCAGGTATTTTGCTCCAAAAGCAGAAAACAAACTTACGATTGTGTAGAACCTGTCCACTGTCCTACCTAAGGCCAACTTCCACTTGTGCACTAGATTTTGTCTCCTCTCATCTCCGGTGGCAGACAGACACGTGCCACCAGATCCCTTATCAAGGATGGATCTACTACAAAGCTGCAGGCCTGTGGTCAACAGACTCCATCTGTTAGCTCCTGCAGGATGTGCCAACACTGTAGCGTCATTTCACCTGCAGTCATGCCCTTCTAGGGGCAGCCCACAGGCAAAGACTGGGCAACTCCTAGGCCAGTTATTAAGATATGCTGAAGCGCAGTACTCCCTCCAGAGTTCCTTACAGGGTTGGCTGAAGTTTCATCTCTTCTTCTGCCCAATCTTGTTTCCCTCCTCTCCTCATAGGTCTTGACCCATTAATAAACTTTAGTACCCCAAATTGTTTTAGCATCTGTTTACAGACACCCAACCTGACTTACCTACTAGAGATTAGCTTCAGCTACTATCTCTTCCCGCTCTTGCATCAATTTTCCCTCTCTGATTCTCATCATCATATAAACATATGATGACATCTCCTTTCTTAAGAAAACAAATGAGTTACTGCTCAAGTTACTCCTTGCTTCCTTGTACAGCAAAATTTCTGGACAGAGTATCTGAATCTATTTCTTGCCTACTTGTCTCTCTATATCATCACTCCTGGCAGTTTTCATGTTCACCCCCTCCTCAAACATACACCTAGAGAAATAGCTCTTGACAGTGTCACTGATAACACATTATTTGATGCATGGTCAATTCTCTTTCACCTGACCCGTTAGTAGCGTCTGACTCACTCTTTCCCTGGAACACTCCTTAGTCACTTGGCTTCTGGGACATAGAGTTCATCTGATTCTTCCCCTAACTTCACTGGCCACAACGGTTCCTTCTCTTCTCTTTTGCTGGCTGTTCTTCTTCTCTGAACCTAAAAACACTGGAACAATTATGGGTATAAAATTAAACTCTCCTCATCACTACCCATATTCACTGTTAGTGATCTCATCCGACGCCAGAGCTTTAAATACATGTTGATAACTCCCAAATTTGTATCTTGAACTACAGCTTCTTTCCCTGAATGTCAGACTGTCACACTCAACTGCCTATTCTGAATTTCCATTTGATGCACACAAGAATATCAAACCTAGCCAGGGAGTTAGCTCTATATATATATCCTATTATGTCTAAAACAAAACAAGCAATTCTCACATCCTACACACCTCCCAGAAAAAAAAAAAGCCCTGCCCCCAACCTTCCTCATCTAAATAAATAGCTACTCTGTTCTTTTTTCTTTGGTAACAGGGATTGAACTCATGACCTTGCACTTGACTGGCAGGCAGCCGAACCACTGAGCTAAATCCCCAGCCCTAGTATCCTATTATGTCTAAAACAAAACAAGCAATTCTCACATCCTACACACCTCCCAGAAAAAAAAAAAGCCCTGCCCCCAACCTTCCTCATCTAAATAAATAGCTACTCTGTTCTTTTTTCTTTGGTAACAGGGATTGAACTCATGACCTTGCACTTGACTGGCAGGCAGCCGAACCACTGAGCTAAATCCCCAGCCCTAGCTACTCTGTTCTTAACAGTTGTTGAATCAAAAACCCAAAGTTATCACTGGATTCTTGCTCTCATCACCCCACGATACTTTTAATCTTTAAATTATATCTAGTCTCTACTCTTACTTTCTCAAGTTCTCTTTTCAAATGTCATCATCTTAAGGATGTTAACCATCAAACATGCAAAATAAAGTCCCTTCCACCCTACTGGTACTTCCTATCTCCTTTAAATTGTTATACTAGTATTTGCCAAATATGTTCACCTGTTTGTTCATTGTGTCATCTAGAATATAAACTTCAAGGGCAGGCATGTGGTCTTGCTCTAGCTTCTAGAAGATTCAAGCAGAAAATTCAATTAGTATTTTTGAATGAATGAATAAAAGAATGGTATACAAACAACAGTCTTGGGGAAGAAGCATTTGAGCAGAGAGCTAAATGATATAAAGAAGCAAAGATTCAGAATGAAAAGCAGTACTGGCAGAAAACAAAATTAATGTAAAGCCCAAAAGTGTGAATGAACTTGGCCTTATGGAAGTACAGCAAAGGTTTGTGTGGGTGAAACAGCTAACTTTGTCAGAGAGATATGAGAGGCTGTTAGAAGCCGGATTACTTAGGAATTCATAATCCTGATAAGGATTTTAAATTTTATTTCAAGTATGCTGGAAGTCAATGGAGGTTTTAAGTGATAAAGTACCCAATGTGGTAATTTTCTTTAAATTCACTTTGACTGTGGCAGGAGTAGTAGGGGGTGGGAATACCAATGTGGAAGGAGCAGTCCAGTGACCGCGGGTATACTGCAACCCACTCAAAGAGCAGAGAGTGAGTTAGATTTCAGTGTGGCCAGTAGAGGAGGACGCGGAATAAAATTTGAGAGTATTCATGACAGGAGTTACTTGGCTTTGCCAGAGGCGCAAAAGGAAAAGAGGATCCAACGAAAATATCTAATTTTTGCCCTGAGTCCATTCAAGCAAATGTAACCAGCCCTATTTCCATCCAGTGTTTTTGAACTGCGGACTTTAAATGTGCCCTAGAACAGAGAGGGTGGGAGAGAGAGAGAGAGAGAGAGAGAGAGACAGAGAGAGAGACAGAGACAGAGACAGACAGACAGACAGACAGACTGACTGAGATTTCCCCCGTATTTACAGTACGCAGATGTAGTGTGGCTCGCGCCGTGATGCGAACCTTGCCAGCGACGGGTCTTCCTCCTCACAGCACCTCACGAGCGCAGGTCCTCTGAGATGCGCAGACCCGGGAGTCCTCCCGCAGACAGCTCTGGGGCATAAGTGAAACCGCTCAATTATTAAATCCCCCCCGCCTCCGTGAATGCGGCCGACTACGATTCAGGGGATTTCTAAACTTCCTCCAAACCTGCATAATTTTAGACTCTTCTCTCCTAGATTTGCATATGGTTTTTTCAGTCAGCTTCAGAATGGCTGGGACTGATTA